TTTACTAGACCACCTGTTTACTACCAGTTAAACATGTGAATTCTAAAAAAAACCCACCTATTTTCTGATGTCTACTTCCTTAAATAACTAGAACCGTCAATTAAAAGAAATGTCCTACAACACGCATGCTTCCATAAGCTGTGCAAGAACACTAAATTCAATAAAAATATTTTTTGCACATGTTTAAATGACCTGTATTACACCTGCATGTCCAAGTTCAATCCTTTTCAAAAGCAACTCACTGGTCTTTTGAAATAATCTTCAAAATGCCATGGCTTCTGTTTGCAGGTATGCAAAAGATAACTCTGGAAAGAAACATGCTGGTTTTCCTTATCTCAATTGAATAGTCATATTAACAGCTTCTGCAGTACTACAACACAAACACTGGGTGACAGGATTAATGCACTGGAAAATGTATGAACATACAGATAGCACATGAACTAGCTCAAGCTTCGATGCCATGAGAACACTTTCAAATGGATGAATGAATGCTTGAATGAAAAAAAGAGTAAGATCATATACACACATTCCACTACTGTGTCAAAGTCACTGTTAACCTTTAAGAATTTCCAGAGAGATGTAGTATTTTTAGTGGATGGATGATCAGTGCTGCATCCTGTACTGAGGGAACATGCAGATATAAAACCTCATATCCACAGTTAAGAGTGTGAAGAAAATGAGGTTTATTTATTCCTCTCCTAACACCAGAAGTCCAAGCTATTTCCTCAAAATTAAAATCTCACTTCCAAATGCCTCTTACCATCTGTCAAGCAGTTTTAGCTGTTCTGAAGAGGCTTCTTATGCTACTGTATATGTTACATCTGCAACAGATTTTCTTCTTGTAGAGTACAGATGGAATAAAACATTGTTTTATAACAAATATAGCAAAATACTGTACCGGATTTCAACTGTGTACAATTCAGAACCAGTTACTCTGAATAAAACACTTCTAACATATCTGCTACTAATCAGTGGCCTATTACGAGCACTGTTTCCCAAACTTCACTTGATCCATTTAGAGGATTCAACAATGCACACAGGCCTTTTTTTTTAAAGTCATTGTCAGTCCTCAAAACATCAAGATCCACCAAGTCTCTTTACTACAGTATGAATTACAAAAATGAGAAAAAACACAAGAAAAGCATGTAACTTGCTGTTCCCACAATTTGAAAAAGTGTATGTTTTAAGATAAAGCTACATAAAGCTGCTTCGACTGTGTCTAAACTGATGGGGTTTCTTAGGCAGAGAAACCATCTCCTCAATCAGAAGCTAATTTATAAAAACATCCCTGAAACTATGCAGATTCTTCGAGTCCGGGGTTCCAATTAGTCCATGAGGCAGCAACAATATATCTCCTCTACTAATTATCAATACCATGAAGTATTTATTGTTCAAAGTCAGTGACTTATTTTTTATACTTTCTGGTTACAATTAAACCTTCTAAGATCTAGAAAACTTGCAAAAGTCACACCTGTCTCAATATTTGTTCATGTGTTCTCAAAAGAAGTAAGAGCTTTACAAACCCTTTACATTACTCCAGCTTTAAACTCAAAGTATGACTCTCCACTCTGTATTAGTGGGAAAGCTGTAGGTAGCAGACGGAAGGAAGGAAACTATTGCCAGGCTGAAGCTAAACAGAGAGGTTATCAACCTAAAACAAGAGAACAGCAAAAGAAATCGCTCAAGCAAAATCCAGAAACAGTCCTCTAAAATGAGTCAAAGCCTTTGGAAAAAAACCCACATTTTTTGTTGTTATGGGGTTTTTTGTTGGATTGGTTTTTTCTTTGGTTTTTTTTTTAAACCAAACCAAAGGATATATATTTCTGAATTATATTAGCACCAACGACCTATTATAATAAAAGTTAATTGTAAATATTGTCTAAAAAGCCAGGAAAGATTAATTAATTCAACACCATTATGACAACGTAAGAATATGGAGGGGAAAAAACAGTAAAAACAGTTCACTCAGGAAAAAATTTAACGAATCACTTGACATTTAGAAGTGCTTTTTTTTAACTTCCTCACCAATTCACTGAAATAGCCTAGGCGAAGAACTACACTGGTTCACTTCCTGTAAAAAAAGCAACTGCACAAATACCTGCCTCAAAAAGCTTTCTATTACTGCTCCTCTCTTCTCCAACAGTACATCTGCTGAAGAAGCAAGATCTACATTAACAGCATACTGTATTATGAACCACAATTTACCCAACCAAGATGTCCACGTTACAGTTTGGGGAACAGGATCATCGACTTCTGTGTTTATACTACTTCTATCACATTGCATAGACTGAAGCAAAACCCACACTTGTAGGTAGTAAGACTATGCTGTTTTCTACAGCTATCACTATTTCTTCACAAGGTCTTTTTCTGTCTTCCTTTACAATTCTCCATTTTGTTGAACAATAAAAATTGTGTTTAATCATAAATTTGACTAATGCAGAGCTTGATACTTGTTCATTAAAAAGAAACAAAGAAACAAAAGTAAAGCAAACCCCATTGCTTGACCCATTGGGAAGTTTTAAGTATATGACATCATGTAGTTTCTCCAAAAAATTTATTTTCTGTTCTGAAACAGAAGAGCAAGAGACTAACAGATAAGTTATCTGACAGCCTAAAGCAAGAGGAATTTCACAGCACCAGGAGGGAGAAGTGAGCAAAAACCCTTAGAAAACTCCCCTGCATGCTTCAGGAAACAGAATTTGTGGGAAATCGGGGCAGGGGGGGCAGGTGGTAAAACAGTAATCAGTGAAGAGATGAAAGCCTAATAACTGACTTGACACAGTTAATTAAAACTTGGCTGAGTGCTCCACGCAAAGATTTACTGGATGGAGAGGAGGCTGGGGCACAGCTTCACAGAATACAAAGTATGCATTTTCTTGTACTAGGTAATTGCACAACCATTTCTTTGAAAGTATAACAGCAGACAAAAGAAAATGGGTAAGTGCTGCATCACCTCAGACCCTTTTTGATCACTTCAACAGAATTTAAGAAAAGGCTATCTAAAAATGAGCAGTCTTCAATAAACTTCCTTTCTCCCAAAATTACTTTCCAATAATTCCTGCATTTTATTTCCCTTCTGAGCAAAACCCTGAGATTATACAGCTAGCACTATTAAAAGAACAGGAGAAGCCTGACTTTCTGCCCCAACTCAGTTCCCTGCAAAAAGTGTACAAGTCCAGCATTTTTTCCTGCAAACTAGAAAATTCCTCCTTATGTTGTAAGAGTTAACAAACTTTCACAAGCATTTATAGAACAGAGTTTGAAGTACCCCAGAAGTTTACATGTGCAGCAGAAATATGAGCTGAGCCCTTTACTGAAAAGTCAGTTTTTAACTAATTTGACAAAGCAGCATGTTTAAAAGGAGCTCTTTCCCTCACCCATGATTAAAGTAGAAAAAAAGACCTATTCATTGAGGTCTAAGCTGTATCAGCCTCGACAAATTCAGTTTACTTACAACACGATTTTTAGTCTTTTCCAAGCTAAATGACTATGTTTCACAACTCTACAACAATAAAAAAAAAAAAAAGGAACCAAAGAGCCAACAAGTGACCACAATCCCACATCTCTCTTTTCCCAACTAGTTTCAATCCTGAAGCAGATGTATTAAACCAGCATCTGGAAAGGAGGGCTCTAACGCCAAGTTTTGGAAAGTTGTATAATCACAAAACAAATTACTTCAAAGTTCAGGAGTTTTGATTAAAAACCAGTACATGGCTAAAACAACAAATGACCTCAAAAGCTTTCAGGGAACTCTAAAACAAAACAGCATACAGAAAATTTCACCAGTCCCTTCTACAGCTGCTTGATAGCCAACAAATGCAATTATGTTCTTTTCTTTTTTATGTCGTTTAAAACCAGAACTGTATCAACTCTCAATTCTCACTTGCTGACGAACAGACCTGACAAAGACAAGTGGGAAGCACGACTCCATATGTACTTCTGCTACTGTCCATTCACTGCAGACTAACAACTCAGTATCAACTCCTGTCTCTTTAACGCTTCAAACATGAGGTTGATAATTAACAAGCATCAGCAGGGCCACAAATACATTAAAACTTAATGGATCAAACAGATTTATATTTTCTATGATTAAATTGAAACGATTAAAATTATGAAAATTGACAGATGAAAACCAGCCGTTCTTAAAAGGTTTCCTGTCCTCGGTCCCAAGAACGGTTTCGTTTGGACAGCAGCAGCAATGAAACTCGTTAGAAACATCTTCAGTAACACACTGTATTGATGGCTTTCCTCCTTTCATAGAAGGAATTCTATAGCGCGTTGCTGTAACACACAATTTATGAAGACTACTATTTCAAGAAAACGTCTGAAGCTCATCCGAACGATCACCGAGTACGTTAAGCACGAACCCTCTCAGACAGGAGGGGAACGCGCTCTTTCGGAAGTGAGCCATTTAGAAGGCCTGCTAATAGTCACAAGCGCGGCTGGCAGCAGCAACAAGGGACCAGGGACAGTAACATGGATCTAGGTTTCATTCCCCGCGGCATTGCCACGTTAGAAGACTGTTTTCCCAGTGCGAGGGGAAGGAGGCTGCCGACAGTCAAAGGAGCTAAATTTTAACTGCATTCCGCAGGCGGTTTCCACCCGTGGCTGGCGGACCCCGGGGTGTCCCGGAGTGTGATCGCGGCAATCAGAACAGCCGGGGATGGCGAGGCGGCCCTGCAGCCCCCAGCCGAGATGTCCCGCTTCACCGGGAGCGCTGGGGTCCGCTACAGACCCGACCTGTCGCGCCCCGCTCAGCCTCCACTGCGGGACCCGCTCCGGCCACCGCCGAGCGTCCGGCAACACCCACCGCGGGCCCAGCACCGCCGGAGACTCCGAGGGGCTCCCAGAGCCCCCTCCCTCCCAGCGGCGGTGGGGCGGCAACACACACGCCACCTCCTCCTGCCACCGCCGGCAGCGCCGGCAGGGACCTGGGTGGCATCATGACACACCCCCAGCCTGACTCCCGTCCGCTGCCCCAGACCCGCCGCTGCTCTCACCTCTGCCCGCAGCCGCGTCCGGCGGGAGGCGCGGAGGGGCAGCTGTCCGGTGCGGGGTGGGCGGCGGCCGGGACCCCTCCCCGCCGCCGGCTCCGCCTGCCCCGCGCGGCACCAACCGCTCCTCCTCCTGCCGCCGCTCCTGCCCCGTCCCCGCTCCTGCCGCTGCCGCCGTTCCAGCCCCGCCCGCGCGGCGCCACCCGGTCGCCGCTTGATCCGCTCATCCGCCGCGGCGGGAGCGCGCGCGCAGGCGCGGGCGCAGCGGCCCCGCCCCGCGGCCCCGGAGGCGAGCGAGTCCCCCCGGCGGGGGAACTGCGGGTTCGGGGAGCCCGTGAGGGAGCCCCGCAGCTCACACGGACACTGCGGTACTGCTTCCTTCCAGGCGGCGCTCCTCTTGCAAGTAGGAGCTCTATTAGCGTGGTGTTAAGGAATAACATAGGAAGCCGAAAGGTAGTAACAGTGGAAATAATATGCGGTCTGAAGGATACCCGTAAGTCAGCGAGAGACATGGTCTCTCCCAACATCCCAACAGGAACCCCGCATTGTTGGTTTTTTTTCCTTCCAGTTTTGTTCCGTCTCAAAATGGGACTTCTCAGAATCACAGAATCAGTTAGGTCAGAAAAGACCTCTGAGATCATCGAGTCCAGCCTATGACCGAACCAGCCTGTGGTCTACTAGACCATGGCACTAAGTGCCACATCCAGTCTTTCCACAACTCCAGGGACGGAGTCTCCATCACCTCCCTGAGCAGCCCATTGCAATGTCTAATCACCCTTTCAGTGAAGAAATTCTTCCTGATGTCCAACGTACACCTCCCTTGGTGCAGCTTAGGGTTGTATCCTCTCGTCCTGTTGCTGGTTGCCTGGGAGAAGAGACCAACCCCCACCGGCTACCACCTCCTTTCGAGTAGTTGTAGAGAGTGATAAGGTTACCCCTTGAGCCTCCTCCTCTCCAGCAGCCTCCTCTTCTCCTAGCAGTTTTAAACACATCCGTGGTAAGAGGATCCGCCCACTGTGAGCAACTTAGATCTGTTACTGTATTTAAAATAACATCAGGATATACCTCAGCTGTCAGTTGACAATACTGAAAACAGTTGTAAAATGCTGCATAACTTTTGGAAATACTGAGCATCTTCACTTATTTCGAGGGAAAGTACTGTTAGTACATTTAGAAGATATCTGGCACCTTCAGCACTGATCTGTTCACTAATGACGCAGAAAAGTTGACAAAGAATTAATGTTTCCAACTCTGAAAATAAGCCTTTTAGCTCAATCTATTTTTCATAGAATTATCTGCTGTACCTCAATTATGTAGCAGTGTCACTAGGAGTCCATTATCGTGGGCTAATGTTCCACTCAGTCTTTTCATTCTGTTTCCTTGAATAATCAGTCAATTAAAAGACTGAGTATTCCTTCCTCAATACTTTTTAATACTTCTGTAGAAAGATAGGCATATATTCCTGACTGCGGAAGATTGCTTTGTCTTCTCAGCAATGAGGTATAAAATGCTGAATAATAGAGAGAGCAATTCTGTTTTCATCATTAGATATGAAGCTTCTTTGTACAAAGCTTTTTATAATTAAAGAGTATTTCTCTCTGTAATGAGATAATTCACTCTTGCAAGAGTTACAGGGGGTTTTTTGCTGTAGAGCTTTAATTCGCAAGGCTGGTCATGGTCTAGGCAATGGACTTAGTCTAGCTTTGGGAAGCAGTCCTGCACATGTGTGCAATTTGTGACTCATTTATGTCTTGCCTTGTGACAGAGCAATGCTTTCATAGCTATTTTTAAGGTCACAGTATTTCACACTTTAACACTTCAAAAGTTCCATAAAAACCCATGGAATTCTTCAAGTCATGCTTAACAGCTGTGGAGGGGTTACAGTTTCAGATGTACAAAGGATATGATACCAGGCTGTTGTGTGCAGCTGGAAATTGATTCACTGAGTGAGTGTACCAGGTGAATCCACGTTATGGTTACAAGCCAGGGGAGGGAGGTATAGCAATGAATATGTCATCTGAAGCGGCCACGCAGCCCACCTGGCGCGGGGAGTTCGATAGGGTTTTTGGTGCGGGTCAGAGTTGCTCCAGGGTCTCGCTTCACTGTCATTAATCATTCCTGCCACACTGGAACAGCAGCAAAGCTGCCTCACTGCTCTGTGCCGGGGTCGAAGCAGCCCCGGCGGTCGCACCGTTGCCTTCGCCGCTCACTCTCCGCTCAGGTGGGGAAAGAAAAAACATGAAACTGATCGCTGCCACCACGCGGGACCGCGACAGCCCGCATGGGGAGCCCCAGCCATTTGCCCGGACCGCTGCCGAACTGATCCAGATCCCACCGCGGATTCGCTGCTCCCGCTGCTCGCTCGTGCCAGAGCAGCCCCTGCTGCTGCTCCACAGCCCAGCCCAGCCCAGCCAAGACACCGTGCCAGGGGCAACATGTGCCACGGAACAAAGAGACTCCGAACTAATACCACCACTGCAGTTAAGACCTGAACCTGACCGGGTGACGTAGATTGGCCAGTTTAATAGTGTAACTCCTTGTGAGCAAGACAGTTTTCTTTGGTTTTTGCTTTTGCCCCTGTTCTCCCATTGTTTCTTTTGTTTAGTTGGGCAGACAGGGGTCGTTGGCGGAGAGGACCCTCTGCCATTCTCTTCCCCTGTTGTTCCCAGGGGACCCCACGAGGCCGTGAATTCCCCTTTATTTGTGGGTAAACGAGTTCTTTTATATCTTTATGGTGCTGCTCTTTTGCTTGTCAATAAATTGTTATTTTTTCACTTATACCTCCTTACATTTTTGTCTCTCTATGTTTGCGGAGGAAGTTCATTTTACTGGAGCTCCCACCCCAATATTTGTCTTTAAACCAAGACACCACACTACGCTTTTTGCTTCTCCTGGCCGTCACCAGTAAACTCTTGTTACTTACTCCTTGGAGTGCTTTTGTAGCTTTACAGAGTTCTTGTATTCCTGTCTGTGATAGAAGGGGGAGGCTGGCACCACACCAAAAATACAACAGTTTATGGAGAGGCTCAGACCTCTGCTCACATGGCTTACACTGAATCACATACATCCTGATGTTTTCATAGTTTACACAAAGCTGAATTATGTCACAGATATTTTGCATTGAAGGACCTCATATGGGGAAAATGGGGGGAAATGACCACAAAGTATCATGTTTTCAGATTTGAGGACACAGAGAAATTATGAGTAGTGGGATCTTGTACCTCACTCCATAAGGCTGTCAGGTGGAAGAAATACTCACCTGTCATCACAAATACATAGAATCATGGAATGGTTTGGATTGCAAGGGACCTTAAAGACCATCTAGCTCCAAGCCCCCTGCCATGAGCAGGGAGACCTTCCACTAGCCCAGGTTACTCAAAGCCCCATCCAACCTGGGCTTGAACACTTCCAGGGATGGGGCATCCACAACTTCTTTGTACAGTCTATCTGAGTGTTTCACAACCCTCACAGTAAGGAATTTCTTCCTAATATCTAATCTGAATCTACCCTATTTCATTTTGAAGGTATTACAATTACATAGTCATAGAATGGTTTGGGTAGGAAAGGACCTTTGAAGGTCATGTAGTCCAACCCCCCAGCAAAGTGCCTTCATCCAGACCAGGGTGCTCAGGGTCCTGTCCGATCCAGCCTTGAATGTTTTCAGAGATGGAACATCAATCACCTCTCTGGAGAACCTGTTCCAATGTTTTACCACCCTTCATTATAAGAAATTTCTTCCTTATATCTAATCTGGATCTGTCCTCTTTCACTTTGAAGCTATTCCCCCTTGTCCTATCACATGCCCTTGTAAAAAGTCCCTCCTGTAGTTCTGCTTTAGGTACTGGAAGGTGCTGTAAGGTCACCCTGGAGCCTTCTGTCCTCTGGGCTGAACAGCCTCAACTCTCTCGTCCTATCCTCAGAGGAGAGATGCTCCATCCCTCTGGTCATCTTCACGGCCTTGCTTGCTTCAGCAGGTCCACATCCTTCTTATATTGGGGATCCCAGAGCTGGACTAGGGAAAGCATTTGCCTACATCTATGACCAGGTATAAACCAACACGAGGCCCACAGCTAGTAGGGAAAGAATGATCTGTTTTTTCCTTTAGGAACACCACAACTACCAACCTTGTTAATATGAGGGTCAGAAAAAGGATATGAAAACTGCTGCGTGAAAGGGAAGAAGCTGTTTCATCTTTGACATAGGCTTTTAATTAGACCATATTTCCAACCCATTTAAAATAGCAGGGATTCAAGTAACTTTAAGGTGGATCTGATGTTTGAGGTTGTCAGGGAACAGTAAGAACAGGATTGTTCTCTGAAGGGAAGGTGAGGTAGGAGCCAAAAAGGGTAACTTAATAACTTAACTACTCTTACTGTCAGGGCAAGGACTTCACCATCCAGGACCCACTCTCACAGTAGTTGAGCCAGGTAGACTTAGAGACAGAGGTAACATTCAGCCAAGAGTCCAGATCATAAAGCAATATCAGAATGAAGAGAGAGATCCAAGGTGAAGCCAGGAGCAAAATCCCTCAGTCATGGTTAGGGTGAGGTCCAACAACCACCAAGGCAGTGAGACCAAGCTGATGTCAAGCCAAGTAGTCAGTCCACAGGTTGGATCAAGAAGTACTATGGTATAGACTTAGTACTCTTCTAACATAGCTCAGGTGAAGACTGAAGGCCCAGGGCTAAGCTTAAATAGAACTCTTGGGCCTATGGGTATAAGTAGGAGCTGCAGATGAGGCTGCTCGTAGCCATTAAGGTTTATTAGTGCACTCAGGACCACGAAGAGTTCATCTAGTTCCTTTTTTCCTTACAAGATAAAATTTACAATAACATGTTGAACCAAGCCTTTCACCTCAGCTACCTACAGCTGCTCCCTCCTGACTCAGCTCTTGCAAAAGGAAGGGTGAAATGGTGAGCACAAGAGCTGTGTGCTAGACATGAGGCTCAACCACAGGCAAGAACAGCTTCCATGTGGAGCCTGGGAGCTTCTGACAGTGCTGCCATCTCATGGTTCATTCCCAAATTCATCTGTACTTTAGAGCTGAAGGTGAACAACAACAAAAAGGCAGTGTTTTGTTTTGTGGTTGTACATATCTTTGTTTATGATATGCACATGATTAGGGCTGG